TTAAAAAAATTAAGATAGTTTTCACTTGCTCTTGATGTTACCTATCACATATAAATCTTCAAAGTAGTAAGAAAAGCCAAAGTGGCACATGAAGCATTAAGGGCCATAGCTTCTTTCAAGTCTAACATAATTTGTGAATTGTGACTATAATGAAGGACTAAAAATATTAAGAAGACCAATACTGCCTTCAATGCAGCTCCAGTTAACAATGGATGATTGCAAAGTATAAAAATCTAAAAATTCAAAAGAACTATTTCATGTTTTCAGAACATATCCAATTAAACACTTCAGGAACACTTTTTTCCAAAGTAATTCACTATGTATGATAATAAAAACTAAATATCGCTAGAAGCAATGACATTGACAACACATGCAGTGAAGTTTAGAATATGGCCTATTACCGATCAACTGTCAATGCATTATGCTGAATTGCTGATAACCAAAACATACACCCGTGTAATTCAAAAGGCAAGGAAGAACACAATTACCCCACAATATATCAAAGGCTTAGCCAACTTTTCACTAAGTCTAAGAGTGCCAAGTTCCTGACTTCCTAGCAGTAATGCACGGTCCCAAAAACAAATCAGGTAACCAATAACAAAATCCCACTAAATCTAATTTTAAGTTTCACATATTGTGTTGCAGCAACCTGATTTCTACTTTCCTTATTCACAATCTCAAACATCAATCTATGGAAGAGAGATGCTGTTTGAATCTGAGCTACATCTGATCTTAAGGCCATTTTCAAACCTAAACAACCATTTCTAATCCTTCATTGTAAAATCAGAAAAAATCCTAGCACGTACACTCCTCTAGATTACGTAGTTCTGGATACAAAATTTCAAAAGCAATAAATTTTAAATTGACAAGGGCTTAACTCAATTGCTTCATTGAACCTTGCCACTAATTGGACTTTCAAACTAATCTTATCTCAGTAAATTCAACAGCACAGGAAATGCAGAAAATAACGGAGCAAGATGACATGCAATGAAGTCATCAATATAATCACATCACAAGCTTTATCTAACATTAGGATTGGCATATGCTAAAATCAAAGCACGGTAAATAACTCTTCCATAGCCCTCCTCTAATGTGCAGGCTGTTTATTATAATAAAATTTAAAAGTCCAGAATTATCCATACCATAATTCTGGTGCCATGCAATGAAGTCATACATACAATCACATCAGAAATGCATTTTAAGCTTTAGAATAGCATCCTAAAATGATTGCAGAAATCTTCAATAAATCCCTTCTTTAGCATAAGCTGTTTACTTAAAATTAATTCCTACAATCCTAAGAAGAAAATGTCAAGCACAATAGCAAATTACATGATAGCAGAACAGTGTACCTGTGTTAGTTGTCTACTTTCATGGTTTCCACGTAGAAGCGTAATATTAGCTGGGTATCTATGAAATTAATCAAAAATAAAAGAACAAATAAATAAAAAGAAAAGTAACTACAAAATCACAGCATCACAATTCACAACAGCACTAACATTTGAGATCCAAAGTTGATAAATTACAACCACTAGGAACATACGACACCTTAAAATTCTTCTTAAATGCTTCCAACGTCAAAATAAAAATACCAAATGACATTATTAATAACACAGCAAGTTAAAACATATGCAAGAATGCATGAAAACAACATACCTAGCTTTTAGTAGCAAGAGGATTGTGAAAACTTCAAGACTATTATAACCCCGATCAACAAAGTCTCCCTGCCACACATTTTAAAAGGTATAGCACTCATAGATGGATAAAAAGGGAAGCCTAGTGCACAAGACTCCCACTAGTGGGGTCTCGGGAGGTAGATATATGCAGTCTTACCCCGCACGAAAATAGAACCACGCACCAGCCACCGGGTCTGTGCCATGGCAGGGTACTATCCAGCCACTAGACCATCGGTGCTTGATGGATAAAACAGTAAAAATGCAAAATCACTCACATCATCCACAACGTGTTTAGGAGAAGTGTAGGACATACCATAAAAATGTAATTTGTCTCCGGCACATGACCCCCGGTCTGGAAAAGTTTCATTAAATCATGAAATTGACCATGAATGTCACCACAAACAGTTACTGGACTATTAACAGGCTGCACATTAGACTCCTCAATAAGGATCTCTTTAACCTGACACATAAATCATCAGTTTAATTAATAACATCATTAAAATACCCTACATCCACTCTATAAGGTACACGTTACCAATAACCCTGAGGTGAAAAACACAGCAACTTTCAACACCTTAAATTTTTTATTTATAAACACAAGAGGATAATAAATCCTGAAGAACTAAAAAACGAAAGTTGGATATAAAATGAGAAACAAAAAGTAAAACAAAAAACATGAAGCAAAATATGCTAAACACTATGCAGATCAGTAATTAACCATAGATTCAAAGCGAAACACATCTTCTGTCCCACAAAGTATGTCAGTTACCGTGATTGCTCAGAAAAACATTTAATTATTAAAATTTTAAATTAAATATATTTTTTCAACCAAACGGAATAAGGAGTGTCATATTTGTAGGATAGAAGATGTGCTCCCGATTCAAAGACATAGAAAGGAACCCTAAATGAGAAGTGAGAGTAATTGAAAAAAGAAACCCTAAAGCGTAAAGCGAAGAAAGTGAAGGGAAGATACATATTCGCAAAGAAGTTGAAGCTCATCTTCGAGAAGGTGTTGGCCATCTTTAACTTTCGAGATCCATTGATCCAAATCCATCTCTTTCACTAGTATTAGTAGTCACCAGCGCCTGCCTGCGTTGCGAAATAATGCAAACAGCGGGACTGCTAAAGGAAATGAGGGTAGTGCTGTTAGGGTGCCACCAGTCAACAAGAAACACCTATCTACTGTGTTGTTCTGAACCACTTTCTTAGGATCCATATTTTTTTTCACTTTTATTAGATTCAATCCTCACTTTTCTATTAATTTAATTTAATTCCTAAAATAGAAAAAAAAATCAAACATATTCATATTTTAATTAAAATAGTTTCTATGGAATGTTATTGAAAATGTTAAAAATAATTAAATTTAATCACATTTGATATTGTGGAATTTTTTAATTTTTCAAAAATCAAATTGATACATATAAAAAAAATCAGAATAAAATGTGTCCGGGTGACAATAGATGAAATCATCTCCTCAAACTAACAAGGTTGTTACTACATTAAAATTAATATGTTACCACAAATAAATTAAAATAAAATTAACAAAATATTATAACTTTTTTTTCATTGTCTCTTCCTTACCCTATCTTTCCAATGTGTAATGTCTCATTCTCTCATGTTTACTATAAGATTGTGGCTCTTTCTTGGTTGTCTCTTCCCTAAGGGTGGCAATATGAGTCAATCCACCTTTGACCCGCCAAAATATGAGATTGTCTTACCCTTATTGCTAAAATGACTCAAAATGTCAGTCTAACTCATATTTGGTAAGTTATAAACAACTAGTCAACATAATCTTAAACTTTTAGACTCATACTTCACAATAAAACTTCAAACTCCTAAGTTTAAACATTAGATGCTCTATTGGAAGAATATGTCTCCATTTTTTATGCAAAAAGTATTCTTTTGAAAATGTTTGTATATAAGTACTAACAAATTTAAAGAATAGATTATACTAATAAGTAAATGTCTTGTATATGATATAAATATATTGTATATGATATAAATGTCTTTTATATCATATAAATTAATCATAAATTACTTATCAGGTATAATTTTATATAATAGTATAACTAATTTAGTATTAATATTACTAATCAATTTAGTATAACATGGGAAACCTTTGCAAAAGTTTATTAACAATATAAAGAGCATATTACATTGATATTCCATGAGTTTTAGTAAAATTACACAAATTATTCTTCCATTTTTTACAATTACAAAAAATCCGTTAATTTATAAACATATATTACATTGATCAACCCTACGTGAGAAATAAGTGTATTATTTAAGCAAAAAAGTGATGAATGTAATTAAGTTAAACAGAATATGATATATGATATATGATATAAATTAAACACTAATATGTAAATATCTTGTATATGATATAAATTACATTGATAAGTAATTTATTCATAAATGTCTTATATATGAATAATTTCCACACGTTAAATGTAAAATGTTTGGTTGAAAAACAATATTAAATTGGTTATATTATTGGAACCACATGTAACCTTAAAATGTTAAAGCAATATTAATATTAGTCTGTCGTGACCCGTCTAAAAACGGGTTTCTAAAGCGGATTGAATATGGACTTTTGGGCTAAAATCTCAAGTCAGGCCCGCTAAAATATTAATCCAAACGGGTTGCCTCATCGGCCCAAACCCATATTGTCATCCCTACTCTTCCCTACCCTATCTTCATAAAAATGTTCTCTATATTGGCTCAATCTTAGACCATGAATATTTCATATGCCATACATATGACATGAGATGATCAACCATTCTCATGCAAATTGAAATCTCAATAAATTATGAGTAATGCTATATTCTCATACTAATCTTCCTACCACAAAAAAGTGACATATGTCACAAAGTGATACTTTATTTATTAGTGATTGGGTTACAAGCGACATATGTCACTTTCTTCTTGTGGGTATGAGGATTATTAGGAGGATTTAGTAGGAGGATATATCATTTTTCATAAATTATTACATGACACATCTCTTAACATCATTGTCTTCATAATTTGACATGTATGAAATATTTCATCTTCTTTATCTCTTCTTCCTAATCCTCATGTGAGTACCCAATTTTGTCCGGCCAAAAATATATATTTCCAAATAAATAAGTAACAATATCAATGTATTTATCCCCCAATTACACAAGTTTAAAAATTAGTTTTGTTACAACTTTTGGTATATAGAATTAAAGAAATCAATTGATAATAAAATAATTTAAACCAATACAATAATTACACCTCAAAGATGCAAATCAATCCATTAATTCACACGATAAACTTTAGTTTTGGCCATAATAAAAAAACATATCCAGTCATTAAAGGAGAAAACAGATTTTCTCCATTAACTACACCCAATTATGTTAGTAAGAAGTTTCCCCTACATTCTGCCCATACACCCCATCTTGTGGCTTAAATATAGACCGCATTCAATCCTGAAAAGGAAAGAAAATCAAGTTAGCAGAAAAAACAGTAAGGCAATCACTGAAAAAAAGGAATTATTCCATAACATAGAGACAAGACCCAGGGAGAAAATAAGGGTAATAAAGAGCATTAACCATGATTGGAAATTCAAAATTTGTAGGCTTTATGAATGGAAATTCTCAATCCTTATAAAAAGGGAACCTTTCAAAACCTAAGAGGAAGGAAAATCAATCAAAAAAACAAAGGGAAGTAATACGTACACAGAAAAATATAACACAACAGAGAAATAGAGAAGAGTTAGAAGAGATTTTTTGGTACACAATCTGTTTGGGAAAGGAAGAGCTTAGCAGGGAAAATATCATTCTTCTACTGAGACATAATCATCCTAATCGACAGGTCCAGGTTAGCACTTGTTGTGTATTACAATAATTCCTCATATGGAAAAGAATTAATTTAAAAGTATGACATAAACATTTGTTCATTATGTATGTGTGGCAAGAGCATTCATGTTATAACAATACCTACATTGATTTGTACATATAATCACAAACTTTCTCAAATCATAATACATGCTCATTTACGGATCATTGTGAGATATACAGAGGATTATAGGGTACATTCATAGAGAACAAATCAAAGACATCAAACCATCTAGGCAGTGTGTGGAGTTATAAAGTTTTTATGCTTGTTTTGTAAAATAAACCAAAGGGCAAGATAGATCAACAACATCATACTCCAAAATAAATAATAATAAGCAAACTCATATTTATTGATTTAATCACAATACCAACACATACAACCAGAAACAATAAACTATCAATACTGTAAGTCAAAGCCATCAACGAAAATGAGAAAGAAAAGACATCAAACCACAAAAGGGGTTCACCCAAGTTCAAGGGAAGGGATCCTTCTTCATTTATCTCTGGTTCGCGGAAGCGTCGCCCTCCTCCGCCAAACCAGCGTCCAGACAGCGACGCGATTCACATGGTACAACGGGGTTCTTCTCCTCTCAGCCTCGCCAACGCTACCAGCCTCCGCCGCATGTTCTAGGGCCCGTCTCGAACAGCCTTGTGCGGCGGTTCACCCATTAGCAGCTCCGGCGGTGTCCTCAGTCGCCGATCCAAGTCCAACGACAGTGGGTTGAATGGTGGCAGCCGTGAAACCCATATTCCCCAATCTCCCCTAAATCCCTAAAAACCTAAGAATAAAAAACTTATAAATTAAAACCTAACCCCTTTCTCCCTTTTCAGATTTGTGGAGTGGTCTTTATGCCTTGTTGTTTTGCTATTTTCAGTGTTTGCTTATTTAAAACTATGTTTCTATAATTCTATTATTAGGAAACTATTATATATATACATAATTTATTTGTCCTTTTATAAATAAAACCCTTCTTTTACTCAATATCGAATATCAAAATAAATCATACTTTTTAAGGTTATGACTAGTGTGTACTTTAATTCTTATTTCGAGCCGAGAACCGGTCGCGGTCACTTGTACTGTTTCTGCTATTTATCGAAGTAAGAAAATAATTAATGTTAAATTTTCATTAATAAAAATTCCTCTTTAAAAATGTATAAGTTAAATAAAATTTTTTTTTGAGATTTAATAGCGAGGTTACAACTCGTATTGCATCTTTCTTCTCACTTCGAGCCGAGAACCGGTCACGGTCACTTGTATTGCTTCTGCTATTTATCAAAGTGAAAAGAGAGTAAGCAATCAATGTTGACTCGTCGTCTATTAGTCTCACCTCAATTAAAGTCAAACCAATTTTTAATAACTCTCAATCAAACAATTTTTAATCAAACCAAACCAACAAACGATCTTATAAAGAACTACGTAGTCTTGATTTCCCTATTGCATCTAGGGATACGTAGGAGCAAGATAAACTCTTGTCAGACACAAAAATAAAAAACAAACATTTTGTTTTAATCAATTTAGTTTTAATAAATAAGGGTAAGTTAAAAGCATGCAATTAGTTAGGGTACCATTTTATAACGGGCGAACGGGGTGCTAATACCTTCCCCGATTCGTAATCGACTCCCGAACTCACGACTCTGGTTTAAAAGACCAATTTTATCCAATTCGGGCACAATTCGAGTTTTCCACGTTTTAACCGCAAAAGACGTGATGGCGACTCCTCAAGAGGTCGTGTGGCCGAAAATCCGGGCGCGACAGCTGGCGACTCCACTGGGGATCTTTTTTTAGAGAGTCAAGCCCAATAACACTTTTTCATGCGTTCTTGTATATAAATACCCTTTTTGTTTCTTCTAATTTTTGCACCAATACTTACATCATTGTTTTCTTGTTTACTTATTATTCTTAATTTAATTAATTATTTTGAGCCTACTCACCTGTTTGTTGTGCAGCTCTTGGGGGTGGATTTATTTTTGAGTCACGTGCTTCCCCACACACTCACTTGGTACACTTGAGTCACACACATATGCCCTAGACCCCGGGTGTTAGAGATTAAGTGCCAAATAGGGGGATATCTTCCTTGTCGGTAAGTGGCCTTGTGCCACATCTGATATTGGCAAGATAAACCAATCAGATTGTTCCCATATGTCATAAGTTAACCGCTTGGGGAGCTAGTCTCCTCTCGTAACTAACCTGTGACATATGGTTTCCTTTCTTTTAAAGATGGGAAGCAATCTGGTGACCTTTAGAGAAAACTTTTACTGAGTCCACTTTAAACGAAACTAGTACCTCGCCCTAGGGTCATGACCTTTAGAATATCCAAAACTCTATAGGTGTACCCTATTTTTAAGACACGGGAAGCAAAACATAATCCACTTTCCATTTGCATTCATGCACATCATAATGCCATCCCAAATTAATTTTAGAAAAATTTACTTCATTTTTACCCATGGATGGGGCCCCCGATGCCCTAGGGATAATTTTCTCATACCAACAAATATGGGGTTTATTCTCCTTAACTCATACCATAACAATCGTACCCCCCAATAGGGTGCAAAACCAAAAAAGATAAAATCTCATTTTTACCCTAACATGTCATATCGCTTAACTTGCATACATCATAATCATGCATCCATATATTTTATATCAATGCATTAAATGCCACACTTCATGCATTCATCATCACAATTTTGTACTTGAATAAAAATTCATTTTTCTACAGCTTTGGTATAGTAAGACATGGAGGCCGTTTCTCTTGTTGTGGGCCAAAGCAATAACTCATTGGTAAAAAAGGGTGTGAAGGTGGAACTACAAGGCATGGATGTGAGTTGTCTGGTAGAGCTGATCCCTAAGATTCCCAAAGATGTTCAGATTCAGTTCAACAACGAATACGGTAGGCTAATGGATCTATTACTCATCTCAGTCGACGTAGAGGCCCTGAAGGTCATTGGCGCCATGGTTTAGTACTGGAGCCCCACTCTGAAAGTATTTGAATTTCCCAACATAGATGCATCACCCACTATTGAAGAGTACGAAGTCTTGTTGGACATTTAGGTATCGACTAGAGCAAAAGTATATTTGTTTACTAGGGTTCAGAATGTGACAGAAGACTTGATAGAGAAACTCATCGGGGTGCGACCGTGCCCAAGTAGTATCATAAAATAGGGGCAAGCTTATGGACTCAGGTGGAAGTTTCTGAAGAAGCATGTTACCCAAATGGCCGAGGAAGGAAGGTGGGATTTGTTCAAACCCGCATTTGCCCTGGCAACTTATGGCATGGTCTTGTTCCCTTTCGTCCATGACATGGTTGACCAAGCCGCCATAGATGTATTTGCAAAATTCAGGCTCTTTGGTGCAAACCTAGTTCCAACTGTTTTGGCCGAAATGTTGCTTTCACTCCAGAGGTGTCACGAAAAAGGCCACTTCAAAATCCATTGTTGTATTCAGTTGTTGTACGTTTGGATGATCACCAGATTCAAGCATCATCAGTATCCAAATTGGTCTCGCCACCCCCTGAAGAGGTTTAGAGCCATTGCAGTAAAACCCTTGCCATTGACAGATTGGAAAAATTGTTCTCTGAGGTTACTCCTAGAAATTTCGGGACGAAGACTCGCCTTTATGAGAGACATCCTGACATTATGTATTCTTGTGGGGAATACCCAAACATGATACTTATGGGGTCTCGAGGATGCATTTCATTTACTCCAGCTTTGGTACTTGGTCAACTTAAATGGGGGATGACACCGATTAATCTAGAACATATGTCAGAGATACTAATATGGTACAAGGATGAGGAAGCCACCAAGGGAAAGTTAGATTCTGTCAGAAATGCTTTGAGAAAGATCCGTCTTCTAGGGCCAATAGAGTTGGGAGAACATCAAGCTGCTCACTGGTAATCCTCACCTACTCATGGTATAGCCTCAGCCGATGATTAGTCCCAACGAAGATCTTTGTAAAGGTGAAGACGACAACCTAACCCCAGCTAGGATTTTCTACAAAATCATCTAAAAATTCAACTTGTTATGCACCTATACGTACGAATTTACAAACCGTAAAAACACTAAAAAGCAGCCTAGAAATCTCACATATGTGTGAGTATGGTTTTGCGAAATGAATGTGAATGTTTAAGCACAATGAATAATTCTCAACTATCATATCTCTATATGAACCAAAGAAAACTAATAACTTTTCTCACAAAAAGAAACTATCTAAAAATGATATGAAAGTTAAGTTTAGAGAAATGTTTAATCTTGTGAATTTTCTAACAATGCAAATCTTGATTCTTTTTTAACACATGGGGAAATCAGCTTTTATACAAAAATGTTTTCAGTTCGACTTAATCGATTAACCTACAAATTAATCGATTAACGATCCCAAGAAATCCAAGATTTCAACTATTATAACTCTATTTAATCGATTAATCTCATACTTAATCGATTAACAGGTTCATATGTTCATTTGATCGAATAACACAAGTTGTAATCGATTAATTGTGTTAAAAAATGTTTTCATTGATGCATGATGAACATTTTACATGATGTGTATATGTACGATACATGATTTTGAAGATATATGTGATAAATTCAATTTGATGCATTAAAATCATGTTATTATATGTAAATGCATGAGTTGCACGTGTCTTCATGCTTGTTTATCCACATTGTTTTAATCTTGTCTTATCATTGTCTTCACTTTGTCTTCATCAAAACATTATAATGATGTATGTTTCATTTCCATCTTTCCAATGTGATGATACATGCTTGCATTCTCAAATAGGTGTAGTGGATCGCTAATGACATTTTTCCGGTTAATGAGAATATTGAAAAATCAGTCCAGGATAATCGATTATCTAAAAAGTAATGGATTATTATCAGCAGAAATAATCGATTACTAACAGCAATAATCAATTATTGTGATTCTTGAATCTTACAAAAATAGTTTTTTGTACAATAAGTAACTTCATATTCAATCGAAAATAGAAGGAATTCACTTAAAGAAATAATGCCACATTATACACAAAATGTAGGCAAACACTAAGATCAATAAGCAAATCAATTGAATCGATAAAGCACGTAAAAGACTTAATTGAATAGGAGTTAAGGAATAAAAAAGTGTGACAACAAATTTTATCATGGTTCGTTTGATTGTCCATTTGCAAACTACATTCAGGTCTCCCATTCTGATCTTGAGATATTTTTCTTCACTTATGGGTTAAATATATTTTACAAACACACTTCCAAGAATTTACAAGGCTTCATTCTCAGTCATAGAGTCTCTCAAAGATAGTTTGACATTCTACTAGTCTCTAAAGGATACCTACACCTTTCTCACAGTTTAGCCCCAACTATTTCTTCCTCCCAACCAAGACCCTTGTAAATCGTGAAGACACCACCTAACTACAACTAGGATTTCCACTCAATTCTCTACTAATGGTGATATTCAAAACACCTAGAGAATCTGATAACATTGTCTGAAATTGGTTTTGAGTTATGTGCACCTAAAGTGTGCTAATGTGAACACTAAAATGCAGCTTGAAACCAAAAACAAAAATCTCACAAAAACTTTAAAGGTGATCAATGCAAGATTTGTATGTAAATGTGTAACAAGATGCACAATTGAAAGTAATGCTAAGATTCTATCTTTTCACTCTTAAGATCCAAAAA